AAAATATATATATATATATATATATTTATAGGATCTACGAACATCTTTATTAGGTCTATTTCTTTCCTTTTCATTTTGAAAGTTAATTGTCAGTTACACTTTTAACAAATCCTGGCCATCGATTGATATCCAATAGATGTTGACTTTCTATTTTTGTAAATAATTACTAATTATCAACAAAGGAAAAGCGCCGCGTGCCCGCGTAATTAAAGTACTTGGAATATACTCATATTCTATTAGTTTGGTTGGTGATTACATCATTGAATTAGACATTCCATTTCTCTTTCTTTCTTTCTTTTTTGTTGAAATCCGATAGACATTCTACGTAGTTTGTATATTATACAATTCGCAAAGGGATTAAGGACTCCTAAATTTAAATTTTTGTGTATTATCCCCCGCGACTCTAGTTGAGCTTGGCTCCCGCACCGACTCCGCTCAAAGTTGCATTATCTTGTTTTATTTGGAAATGTTGAAATATTTTATAAGTATAAGACTCTCATATACTCCACAAGATGCATTTATAATTCGATACTCTACAAATTTTTTTAAAAATTCTTGTCTTGTTAATGTATTATACGGTATTAATTGTACGGTATTAATTGTGTGGTGATATAAGTGAAAACTGAGCACATAATAAATAAAATTAGATTTAAGAATTTTAAAATAATGAAAAAGACGGAAGATGAATGAGAACAACTAATATTTATTGCCTTTAAAAGGTAATTGGATTGCTTTAATATATACACCAAATGATGAAAATGCCCATGAAAAAAACACACGAGCAAAATAAAACTGAGAACAAAATGGTAAAAACAAATGGTAGGAGACACAAACGGTATTTTTAATAATGGTAAAAACAAATAGGACCGGCATTGTTCAAGGAACAATAAACCCGGTGTTTAGTAGTATGTATAATATATATATATATATAGACAAAAAGATTGAAGATTGGATTCACGCAAACGATTTGTACTTAACTTTGTGTGCAATTGTCAGGTGATAATATATCAAACTGGCCAACACTATTTTATTTACTTGTAGTTACAAATTTTAGCCTAACAGTAACTCTACTTTTGTGGTTGAAACCCCAATATAGCCACAGCAAACTCTTTTTAAAGATAATTTTAATAAAAGTTCTATTTATGAAATATATTTTTTAAAATTTTAATTTGGAAAACCATTTTGAAGCTACCCGTCGTGATAACTTTTTACACTACCCGACCAAGTGACTCGCTCGTTATAAAAATAAAAAATCCTTTTGTTATTTTTATATTGTAGTGTAATTCTTTTTGCAAATTTCTCAATCTAAATCCATACCTCTAATGTTAAAAGTTATAATTCGAATCTTCTACCAGTTAAAAAAATTTAAAAAATTAAGTCCACGGTTGGAATTTTTATACTCTTACATATATATAATCTATAACCATATATAAAAAGGCTTCACTATTTTCAACCAAAAATACATAATTTTGGTTGAAAATCACCTCTTATAAACGGTGTTTTCACAATTTATTTTTTTATTGCTTTTGATTTTTTTCTCTTTTTTCTTTATTTTTATATTGAGAAGCTCGTTACTGTTCGCGTACTTCTTGATTGAAAACGTGTGAACAATAACAGTGTCGCTACAGTTTTTTTTTTTTTTTTTTGCTCTCCAAGAATTTTTTCTTTTTTAATTTTAATTGTTTTGGACTATTATATGCTTTTATAATAACACAATAATTAAAATTTAATACACGATTACTCTCCACGTACATAGCACGTGTTCTTCGACTAGTATATCAAGAAATCTAGAGAAATGTAATCACAAACTTTCTGTCTTTATATTATATAGATAAATATATATATATATATCTAGGATTATACAAAACAAAAATATTTCTTTTTTTTTTTTTTTAATCGGACTGTCTTGAGCAAATGAGTAAATTGATTTCCGGCAGCCTATCACTTGATTGAACTTGGCATATGCGTATAAATTTTGGACCATATAATAAATACTGGGCACAAGACAATCTGACATATAAATTACCTTAATTGTGAAGAAATGGTAATGGCTTATATATATAACCATTCAACTGCGTGTCAGGTTCGGTTTTTTTTTTTTTTTTTTAATACTCTTTAACTGCCTTTCATTATAATTTATTGGCTTGAGATCTGCCAGTTCCTTAACAAGAAAACATAAACAAGTAGGTCCCACAACCTATGAACCTACCAGACATAAGGATGATGATCACACAATGATTGTAACGAGTAACGACCCTCAACTTCGAAAACGCACCAATAGTTCAAAAAGTCGGACCATAAATACTTTAGTGTGTATTACAGGAAACAAGTTCATGTCGTTTTCTGCTTTTCAATTTGTGGAGCTCCCAATCACAAATACGAGCTTACAAATGGTCTTGTCTTGAGCTGTGGCCAATCTATTCTTAGATTTGCGTTTAACATTAATAGATAAAATGCTTCATATGGAATTTCCCTTTGTGCTTTAAAATGTAGTCATTGAAAAATTATTCCTTTTTTTTTTTTTTTTTTTTTTTTTTAAACTAATGAATTAAAGGGATGTGAACATCTAATGAATCAAAGGGGTCAATAGAGGGTGAACATATGGTGGGTTGGGTTCGTTTTTTGAGATTTGTCAACCCACTCAATTAAGGTTAGTGGGTTAAATTTAACGCGCTTAATAAACTCAAAATTTAAAATCAACTCACCCAATTAAATTTAGATGGGTTGATCGGGTTGAACATAATAAATAAATAAAACTAATCATTTAAATAAATTAAAAAGTATATAAAAAGAAAGCTAACTTTTATCACAATGTTAACCTTATAAAGTTCTAAAACTATCTCATAAGTTATAAACCAATACAAAAATAAAATATATGCAAAACAAGTTTAAATATATAAGTTGTAAACTAACAAATAAACAATAGTAAAAATTCATACAACATAAAACATAATAGGTTTTCAAGTAAATAATGTAAAATTTAAGACAAATACTACATATTATGAGGTAGAAAAATATTTATATATACATAAATAGATTTGGTGGATTTGGGTTAAGTTGGATTAAGAAAAACTCAACTTAAATCCACCCAATTAATAGTTAAATTGGGTGTGTTGGGTTGGGTTGATCTTTTAATCGGGTTAATCCGGTTCAGATTATGATAAGTTGAGTTAGGTAGATTAATAGGGGTCGTTAAATTATCGTGTTATTTGATCACCCCTAATCAATAGTATCCTCATGCCCTATGAGAAATTTATTGAGACCACAGGGTCCATATTCGGAGCAAAAAGGTATAATTGAAGCCTCATTACGGACAAAGAGAATCGATTCCTAATTGATAGGAGAGAGCTATTAAGTCATCCTTGGCGACATGCAGCCACCACCGTTGGTTTGAACAATTCTTTGATTAACTTATATATGAAAAATACCATTTGCGTAAAGACTTTAAAGAATTCTTTTGTGGTGATTTTATTTTTAGGTTAATGTAGGACGCACGTCTAGAAATTAGAAGTTTGTCTTTGATTAGGATTCTTCTCTTAGTTTGATAATTTAATGTACAACTTCCAATCTTATGTTATTTATATACATATTATTTTAAATGAGTTTTAAGTTGGTTTTGGATTATTCTATTTTATAGGCTGTAATAGACCAAAAGGCAAAGAAAGAGGCAGATTCTTACTGTTTTGATAAGATTATCAGATTTTTCCGCCTTCATGAAAGTCGGCTTTCATGATTATTTTGATTAAAAGCTGAAAGCAACTGATTTGAATTATTGGAGGGCGCTCATATTCTTCATGATTATTAACTGTAGATCGTCATTCAAAGCTCTGTTCATTTAGACTCCGTTCATTTTACCGATTTGAATTTTAAATTCGAGTTTTGTTATAGTAAAAAACTCTCAGAAACAGTCACATCTAACATTTTTACTACAGTAAAAAACTCTCACATAAAATCACATCTCAACTCGAATTAAAAACGTGAATTAACGAACGAAACAGACCCTTAACTAATTAGAGTTTTATTATAGTAAAAAATTCTAAAAAACAGTCACATCTAACTTTTCTGTTACAGTAAAAAATTCATATAAAATCACATCTAAACTCAAATTAAAAATTCAAATCTAATTGAACGGGCCTTAATGTTGCATGCTGAGTCCTAAACTACTATGTGCTCGAAGGTCATTGCCCTACCAAAAATTATATAACAAGCAATCCTCCCATCGGACTGTTTACCTCAACCTTACAATTAGATTGGAGAATGTTTCGTTAAAAAGATGATGAAAAAAAAAAAAAAAAAAGGATGAAGGAAACGGTATTTATAAAATGTACTTAACGATGCAATCCTCCCAGTTTCGAGTTATCCAACTCCCAGTTCCGAGATCATCAGAATCTAAAAACTATTGGAGATATTAGTTCAGTATCTCTTTAACTTCTTGTAGTTCTGTTGGCTAAATACCCCGCGAAGGGAATTATTCGCCCACATGTTGGTTTTTCATATATTCTCTAGTTCAACTTCATATATCCGTTTAGTAGAGAGATTCGTTCCCTGATTTGAATCATTATTCATGATTCGCTACAGTATTTTCTCTCATAAAAAATTCACGTAAATAAAAAATAATTCAAATCACATGATTTGAATCCTCCAACCAACGTTCTTTGATTCTGGTCCTAGATTTATCAGTTGTTGTGTACCTGATGAATAAAGAAACCCACCGCAAAATCTCCCCATAAAAGCCGTTAACTAAAGATCGAATAACAAACAAGGCTTTAGAAAAGCACATGCATTATAAAATATAATTGGCAGAAAACTTGGGACGACTGCCACAGACAAAGCAAAATCTGGCAATGATATAACATTGCAAGTACTTCATGAACAGTCAAACACCTTAAAACGAAGAAACTAATCTACTAAACAAGACGAGGAAAGGGAAAACTGGAAAGAAAAGAAAAAAAAGACATGTAGATGAAAGCCCTTCAGATAAACGTAGTTAACAAGTTCCGAACTAACACATTGAAGCAATCTCCTCACAGCAGATCAGCAACGTTTGATGGCAGCTCCTCGATCACAACATTGTAAAACTTCTGGATATCAGAAATCATCCTGTCATCATCGGTCGTTATGAAGTTGATGGCTACACCTTTCCTACCAAACCGACCACTACGTCCGATACGGTGGAGATAGTTCTCCGGCTGTGTCGGAAGATCATAGTTTATCACAAGGGAGACTTGTTGGACGTCAATACCACGGGCCAAAAGATCGGTGGTGATCAAGACGCGAGAAGATCCAGATCGAAATTCGCGCATAATGATGTCCCTGGTGTTCTGGTCCATGTCTCCATGGGTGGCAGAGACCGTATGGTCTCGGCTCCGCATCTTGTCAGTCAGCCAATCAACCTTGCGTCGGGTGTTCACAAAGATGACACTCTGCGTGATAGCTAAGGTCTCGTAAAGGTCACAGAGAGTGTCGAATTTCCACTCTTCCTTGTCGACATTGACATAGAATTGCTTGATACCCTCAAGAGTGAGTTCATCACGCTTCACAAGAATCCTCACAGGTTTGTTCATGAATTTCCTGGTGATCTCAAGAGCCTCAGGTGGCATAGTGGCAGAAAAGACTCCAACCTGGATCTTTCCTGGTAGAAGCTGGAAAATATCGTAGATCTGACAACAACAAAAACAAAGAAGAATTACATGTGTATTCAATTTAGACCGTTTTCTATTTGACTGCTAGTAATTTTTTCTAACGAAAAGGCAAAAGGAATAGACTATCTTTATCACAAGCTGTTGGCAAACTAATATAAGCACCTGCGTGGTAGCTACTGCATCACAATGACATGAATGGCAAAAGACCATGCATCAAGAAACAATCATAAAGACCAGTCAGGATATTCTTCCTTCATGATTGAATCCCCAAATATTTCACTCATACAATTAAGAGTTAAACACACCTAGAGCTCTAAAACCCCCCATATAGATAACTAGACTGTAAACTACTTATAGTGACAGGCAAAAATGGATTTTTAATAACCGCATTAACATAAAGTATTCATAATGTGCATATTAGTTAATAGTTATATATAACTTAATGAAAATCAGTGATGTATACAAAATACAAATTTTGGGTTAAAGATGAACCTGATCCTTGAAACCTCGTGAAAGCATTTCATCAGCCTCATCCAACACAAACATCTTGATGTAATCAGGACGAAGAGACTGTCTTCTCAGCATGTCGAAAACACGCCCAGGAGTGCCAACAACAACATGAACCCCACTTGACAGAATGCGTTGGTCCTCACGAACACTTGTTCCACCAACACAAGCATGCACCTTCACACCAAGATAGTCTCCAAGCGCACGCATAACCTTCTCAATCTGTTGAGCGAGTTCTCGAGTCGGTGCAAGCACCAAGGCCTGGCACTCAACCAAGCCATATTCAAGCTGTTGCAGGACACCAGAACAAAAAGTTGCTGTCTTCCCTGTACCAGACTGGGCTTGTTGAATCACATCAAGACCCTTGCAGAAAGGAACAATTCCCCTTTGTTGAATCGCTGAAGGCTTTTCAAAACCTACACAACGGATTATCAAAAATTCAGTATTTGATGTCTAATCTGTGAAAACTAAAAGTAATGGCTAGAATTCAACGCTATATCTATAAATCACACAAAAAAAAAAAAATACATATAAACATCAATCCCCCTACCAGCTCCAAAACAAGAAGGGTGCAAAAAAATTCCGCCTTCAAAAGCATATTTTTAGTAAATATCCCTAGTTTTGCACAAAGCACAATTAAAAAGTATCTTTTCTCGGTAAATCATCAATCAATGATTGACCAACATCAATCAGTGGTTTACCCAAAATCAATCAATAATTTTACCAAAAAAAAAAGAATAAATTGCCAACATCGATTAATGGTTTGCCAAAGTTTAATCGATTATCTATCAAAGTCACTTTTTAAAAAAAAAAAAAAAAGAATATTTCTCAGAAAAATCATAAGAGAAAATATTCTTGTAAATACAAAATTTCCCAAATCCTTGACATAAAGCAATTAGAAACCAATTCCAAAGGTAGACAATCATATAGCAAGATCGAACACCAAGTAATCACCAAAAGCATCAATTTCGAGCAAGCATCAAATAAGAAAGAGACTGAGAAACAACAACATCTTACCATAAGCATAAATGCCCCTCAGAAGATTCTCATGCAAACCCATAGCATCAAAAGTGTCGTACACTTCATCATAAGTTGTAAAGAAATCTTGCCCATCAGCTGAAAGTCTGAAACAATTGATGCCCAATCCCTCATAAGTCATAAAAAATTAACCTAAAAAAATCAGCTTAAAAATTAAGTAGAAAAAAAAGGAGAAAATTCATCAATTCTCACATATCATTCATCTTAGCATCGAACTGACGCGCATCGAATTGCGATCCTTCTGCTACTCCCGCCATGGCTAAAAAAAAAAAAAAAAATTATCATCATCAACAACAACAACAACAACAGAAAATGATGAGATTAAAACATAAAACCTAAAACTTAAAGAGAAAAAAAATTAATCACGCATAAAACCTAAAACTTAAAGAGAAAAAAAAATAATCACGCAGAAACGAACTCTTAATCAAGCGATTACCTGAATCAAAAAAGAGCTTTTGTAGAGACGCGACGAAGACGATGAAGAGAAGTTGAAGATCTGCGAAAGAGCGAATTAGGGTTTCCCAAACTCCGCGGTCGGATCTACCTCGGAGTTGAGAGAAAATATGGCTTGAGTTATTTTAGAGAGAGAAAAAGGAGGCCTCTTTTTTATTATTGTTGTATTTAAGAGATAGAAAGGTCGATTCTTTGTGAGTAAGATAAGTTCTGATGTGAAAAGGATTAATATTTATTTTTCATTTTTTTATTTATTTGGATTTAGGAAAGCTTGGAGGAGTTGGTTTTTTTTATGTGTTGACGGATTTACCCCTGGATCCGAGTCGGAGCTTGACCGACTCAGACTGGGGCTGTTTGGAGCAAACGGGGTCAGGACAAGTGTTGAGAGATTATTGGTTGAAAGATTCAGTCGAGGTAATTAAGGAGAAGCTTTGGACCGTACCGTATTATGACCCCGGTCAATACGCTCCCGAGACAGAATATGCGGGCCTGTACTGTGCTGGACAATGGACAGAAACTCTCGGGCCTCAGTCGGAGGCCTACGGGCTTCTTTTATAGCAATCTAACGACTAACACAATTATTTAAAAAAAAAAAAATCGATGACTAATACGCATCATGAAACGCTGTAAGGCCTTACAGTAACACAGGTCACGACACAATAACACATCTCATTTTCTTTCAAATAATTTTGATAAATATATCTTAAAAATACATGAGTTAAGATTTTTACTTTTTATTTTTAATTCATAACCATTTTAATCAAATAATTACACTAACAAAAAGATATTTAAGAAGTAAAAATCTAAACTCATATCCTCTAAATTTTCCATCTTTTCTTTTCCTTCATTACACCTTTTTTCCTTTTAATTTACGGAGTATAAGAAAATTTCCGTAAAGAAAAATCCTTCAGAATACTACTGGTAATTGGTTAGGTTGAAAGAGGGAGAAGGAGAGAGAGAGTACAAATATTCATGAAAGGTAGCTCAATATTGGCATAAAACAAAAGATGTATTTCATCATTGGTTTTCAAATCATTCTAACTAACAACTGTTCCAAGTTGCGCAACATTCTTTACAATTTATTTTACTCTTTTAACTCTCCGAAGCGCTGTAAATTCATGTCCAGCCACATGGTGAAGAAAAGAATGAGAACCTTAACCTTAAACCACTACGATATTCAGATCTCTACTCAGCTTTCTCCACAGAGGTGTTCCCAAACAATGAAACAGTTTCAGCAAGCTGTCCTACACACATGAAACTGCAGTAGACACCCCACCCCTATGCTACTCAAATTGGCAGCGGAACGTGCACAAGTGGCTTCCAAATTGTGAGATAACATCGACGAGACCTCCATAGCCACCAACTGCTGTGACCTGAAAAAAAAACAATGGCTCATAAACATGAGAGGTGCTACAGAAACCCGGTAACTAAAATGGTGAGTACGCAAAAAGCCAGTATCAGATAGATGCAGTATGTATTGCTTGCGAGAATGCTAATGAAAATCTCAAGGACTCAAACATCAATAAAACTAAACTTCTGAAACATTGGAACTGAATAAGGGGAGAGGGAGATTTAGCAAAATCATACCCCAGAAGGATGTAATGAGACAGAGAAAGCTGACTGAGGCGCACATTGTATTTGTGAAAGAATCGCCCCATTTATGTCGAAGCGGTAGAGCAGAGGTTCAGCTCCAACAGCTAGTATCTGAAATGGAGCAGCAACAAGTTAAAGGTCAAGAGTGAGAAATGCTATTTAACCACTGATGGCAAAAAGAAAAGACTACTCACTTGATTTTCATCAAATACTACATCCTGCACAGATGCAGGAGTTGAGATCCTAGAAATAAATTCAGAAGCAGGAAGATTCCAAACCGATAAACTCCTAGCACTGCCACAAGCCTAAGAAAAAATACAAGAAAATTAAACAAAAGACTAAGAAGAAGGTACACATGTTATAATATAGCCAAACAACTATAAGCGCAGCATTTCAATATCTTCTAACTTTTTATTTCAACAACATTGCGTATATGCTTATAACAAACAAATAGCTTATATAATTATAAGTCGTCTCTTATAGTAAGTACTACAAGAGGAACATGTTAGTTCTTAATGAAATAAGGTGAACATTTTAGTTCTTAATGAAATAAGGTGAACATGTTAGTTCTTAATGAATAAAAATAAGAATAAATAGCTATTCCAGGAGCACAATATTCTTCATAACCACCATGAATGATGGTTGTTATGACTTTTGAAAAAAATTCTGTTAGATGCATACTCACCAACCAGCTTTCGCTAGCATCAAGACCAATGCAACCAACATAAGAGGACAATCCTTTCGACTTCATTTCCTTCCTCGGCTCAATGACTTGAATGCATTTTCCACTCCTGCAATCTATATTACAGTCACCATATTGCTTCCTCGTAAGTAGATAATTTTGTGCAACTTCAAGCCAGGGAAAAAAAAAAATCTTGCATACAAACAAGTCGTATTAAAAAACTATAAGATACCCAAAGCAACAATCTATTGAAGAAAAAGAACAATGAATTGTAAAAGTGAGAGAAAAAAGATCCTCTATTTCGGGCACAACCTTCTGCCTGAAATACTTGAAAAGCAAAAGGGCTAGAACTTTACCCCATATTCGTGCTGTTCCATCTTCTGAACCAGTTATGATCTGAATATTCAAAATGACAAAAAAAAAAAAGTCAGAAAAATAATGCACTGCATCTAGTACTTAAAATGCACCCTGCTGCCTTTGAAAGCGAAATTATGGTCACATCTCAAAGATACAAAACAAGGAATTCTATTGTCAAAGAAAAAGGTGACTGACCTGATCAGTAGAGTTTCTAGCAATAATACAATGCAAGTAGTCAGAGTGTCCCTTGAAAACCATTTTGACTTGACAGCTCTCCTGAAAATTTCCAATAAAATTCAGGCAGGCCTTAGCATAGCTCAGATATGAAATCAAATCAAGAACACTGTTAATGAACGATTTGCACAGAAAAGTCATGACATGAGAAGATATTCCCCTTCTAAAGGAAGCATACCAAATCCCAACAATAAGCACAAGAATCACCAGCAGCGGAATAAACGGATCCCCCCTGGAAAAGAAGACATTGTTTCGGAATATAATCTTTTTTTGAGACCACTCTGAGAAAAAAGAAAAAGGGGATACAAAGCAATTGGAATTCAAAGGGGGCACATACCAAAACATTAACAGCAATGGCATTGTTTTCAGGGATTGGAGATAGAGCTCCCCAAGGACCTCTAGAAACACAATAACACGACATGAAAAATAAGGAGAAAGTATTGGGGCCAAGAGCATCTAGACCTTCTTTGGAATTAACTTGAAGGAAAAAATAGCGAAATAGTCGATAATATTTGTTAACTTACTTATGTTGAGGATTCACCAGGTCCAAAACTGGCTTCATGTGCTTTCCTGGGAAAAACATAAAAAGAGTAGCACACATAATACACGGTCTAAGAACCATACTTAGTGTTGATAAACAAAATCAGTACAACAAATCACTTACAATGCATAAGTCGGACAATCTACAACGTATGACTATAGAAAAACAAGTTCACAAGTTACATTGTATACCCTGAAAAGGAATAGGCACCATAGATTCCGTACAATCCTTCCACCTCCATCCTCGTATCCGCCCGTCGTCTCCGCAACTTCATCATCAACACTTAAAATCATCAGACTTTTCAGTCACTAATTGTAACAACTTAAACACAAATTATACTCACAATGTTGATTAAATCCCAACAAGAAAAACCGGATATAAACACGAAAACTCGAGTAATCCTTCAATTAAAAGCACATTTACAAGCACAGTGTTCGCTAGGTCCACAGAAATTTCAAAGTACATTTGCCTTAATTCCTACTAAATCACAAATGCAAATGCAAAAGAAGAGATGGAAACAGATAGAGATAGAGAGACCTTAGCAATAAAGCATCTTCACCATCTCCATAGAATTTGGCATCATAAACAGGTCCATCATGCGCTTGAAGGAAGCAATCAGGTTCAGCCACAAACAAGCTACGCCAACGCCAAGAGACCAAAACAATGTAAAAACACCATTAACGGCAAAACAAACAAACACAAACAGTACGGCACGGAATTACTCACTGTGGAGCTTTAGCGTTGGTGAATCCCAATGGCTGCGATCAAAATAAGCAAAAAAGCTCACGAAAAACCACCATTTTTATTCAAAAAAATAATAAAAAATTTGAGTTTGATTATTACGAGCTCGGAGATGATGGAGGAAATGGAGTAGGAAGCGAGCGATCCGTCGCTGGAGGCGACGACAATGGAGTCGGGATTGTTAGGGTTTGGGGAAGGAGGCCAAAGAGTTCTGAAGACGGTTCGGGTGTGGATCTCCCTCTCCTTGAGTATGGCTTCCCTGTAGGTGTCTTCGTCCCAGTTCGTCGCGTCACCTCCCATGCTTTGCTTACTGCAATGTAGCCGATAATGCGCTCTCTCTCTCTCTCTCTCTGAGCTCTGGTTCAATTGGTCTCTCTCTAGGAGCTCTGGTTCTCTCTCTTTCTTTCTAGGAGCTCTGGTTCGGTTGGTCACATGGTCTCTCTCTCTCTCTCGGAGCTCTGGCTCGGTTGGTCTTCGTGACGGCGAGAGGAGTGTGGACTCTCTTGATACGACAGTATTGTATATACGATACACGAGAGACTCTCTTGATACGACAGTATTGTATATACGATACATTGTCAACAGAACGAAGGAAGGCCAGAAACGACATCATATTTGTGAACGATTATGTATGATGAAACGACGTCACAATGTGATGAGAAACGACATCATTTACGTAAGCAGAAAACACTAGAAAACGACATCATCCACCGAAACGACAAAAAAGATTCTTATTTAAAATCATAACTCAAATGTACACAACCAAACACAAGCTCAATTTACAACTTTAACTCAAATTATAACTCAAATTTAACTCAAAAATTACACTCAGGTCCTTAAATGCTCAAATGACTTCCATTGCCCTCTAAGTTACAATGTGAGAAATGACCTTCGTTACTTTCAAAAAAACGCTCAAATATGCTTACAAATCGTTTTCTGTTTTCAATTTGACCTTAATTAAAAAAAATTTCAAATTGAACGGGTCAATTGTCATTAAACAAGAATATAAATTTAATTGCCAAATTTAAAAACTTGAGGGAGTATTGGTTAAAAAAAACCATTGAGTTTTGTTTCTTAATATTATTCGAGTTTAATGAGTTTTCCAAAACTAAGGCAGGAGAGTTTACTTTTCTATTCATACTAGCTGAACTCCATGTGTTATGCACATAAAAAGTAATCTGTGTATTTGTAATGACTGAGAAAATTTCAGACCTTAAATAATACAATTCATGTATTTTTAAGCCAATGATTTTCTTAGAAAATATTATGTTATATTGTGAATGGAGGATTTATGGAATTAATATATGTATTCCTAAATTCTATAGCAAATTTCATGTTAAGTTCATGTTTCGATCAAGTAAATTCGATCGATAAATTCTCGCCGTATTTTAAGGCAGAATAATTTTCAGTACAAGTATAGTTTGAGAATCTTAATTTCAAGAATCTCTAAGCACAGCCCGATGTTAGCGGCATATAAAAAAAACGCACTGACATTTTAAAAGAAGAAAAAAATCCTTAATTGCCAAACAGTTAGGTTAAAGTCACAAGATAAATACCGATAGTAGATGGATACAATATGAGCTCGGGAGTTGACACTGTCAGAAACGTCATTCTCGGGATAGAATACAGAAAATAAAAATTTAGAATTTGTTCAGTCTAAAATTAATTTTCAGACTTGAAACAGTTTGAAATATTACGCGAGTAAGAATATAAAACAATATTGAATTATTCAGAAATTGATATTGGACTGTAAGTAGTAGATTAACTTACGTGAGCTAAACTAATTACCTCTAATCAGTATAAATTTAATCTGTTTAGAGGAAATAATTGAGGATAAGATCAGGCACGTAATCTTGCCTTCATCAGATACTTTATATAGTGAAATTTTTAGGGTTCTTGCACTTTCTTTCTCTTATTCTCGCTCATTCTCTCTCTCCTCTCACGTTTTCTCTCACACAAACCATCAATGGCCAAATACTCAAGTTAAGATTCCGACCTCCATTTTTGACACCGCTGGTGTCAATAGAAAGATCTCGACGAGCTGAGTTCAACGACATGCGGCACGACCTCCAACTCCGCCGGAATCAGCCGCAATCGCCGGCGAAAGTTTCGAAATTTCCATTTCTTCCCGTCGTGATATCTCCACCATCCGACCTCCGATTGAGATGATTTCAGTCCCTATGGACTCAGTGCAGCGAGACGAAGAAAACCCATCCATTTTCACAGCTCGATTCTGGCCGGAGCACCGCCGTCCGTGGTGGTTGGAATCGCCGCCGTCGCCGCTGTCGTTTCTCTCTTTCCAGGCCGTCGTGGATGTCACCGCCCCCACCAATCAACTCAGAAGC